CACAGTCACTTCAACTTGAGTTCGCACCAGATTTCCAGCCTGTCCAGTGCAGCAGCACAGAAACAGCAGTGATGCCCTGGCCATCTGCCAGCCCAGGCGTGTGGTCATTGCTGTTATCAAAATGTTCTCAGGCACAGTAGAGTAAGATGATAAGCAGTACAGCAAGCAGTGAAAGTAACAGGCTGCCACTGAGAAGCACTAGACTGTTTTTGAAGACAAGCAAGCCCCATGGCAAACATAGAAACCTACCGATAAATAGCTAAACAGCAGTAACAGCTATAAATTCAATTTAGCACATTCCAATCAAATCTGTTGTTATCTTTAACAGTTGGAGCCTCATGCTGGGTGCCAAAAAGGGCTGTCATGGTTTAACCCCAGCCGGCAAGTAAGCACCACAGAACCACTCACTCAGTCCCCCCTCAGTAGGATGGGGGAGAGAATAGGAAGGGTAAAAGTGAGAAAACTCATGTGTTGTAATAAAGACAGTTTAATACGTAAAGCAAATGCCACGCATGCAAAAAAAGCAAAACAAGGAATTCATTCACTAATTCCCAACAGCAGGCAAGTGTTAAGCCATCTCCAGGAAAGCTGAACTCTGTCAAGTGTAAAGGTTACTTGGGAAGACAAACACCATAACTCCAAACATCCTTCCTTTCCTCCTTCTTCCCCAGCCCTATATGCTGGGCATGATGTCACATGGTATGGAATATTCCTTTGGGCAGTTGAGGTCAGCTGTCCCAGCTGTGTCCCCTCCCAAATTTCTTGTGCACCTCCAGCCCATGGGCATGCTGGGCAACACTGAAAAGAGTCTAGACTCATTCTCTTGACACCCACCCTTTAGATATTTATAAGCACTGATGAGATGCCCGAAGTCTTTTGGACTGAAAGGAGCAAACACGGCTTCAGCAACTAGTTCAGTTCTGAGCTAGATAAATAATGGCTTCTAAGTACCAGATAATGAACCCAAACAGTGCAAACTTTTTTTTTCTTTGTCTTATGTCTGATATGGAAATTGATCCACACTGTCCATCACTAATACGGAGACTGGGTTGATTACAGGGAAGGGATAATCATGATTAGCTTTGCAAGGATGACTCACCCTTTCCCAGTGAGCACATAGAGCACAGCATCAGTAGTAGTCCCTTGCTTTATCCTGCATCTAGGAAAACAGTTTTTATAGAGGTTGTCATAGGATGTCTTCAAGTCCAGAGGTCTCACAGAAGGGCAGTCATGCATTAACTGCTTGGGGCTGCTTATTGTTTAGCAGTTTCCTTGAAACACACTGAAGGTTTCATTTTCTTCCCTGATCCATTCCTGCAGAATTCCCTTTGAGGAATTTTTCTGGGACATACAGGAAGGCCTCCTGAGGCGAGACATTCAAGCTGACCAGTGATCGTTGGTTTCTTTTCGAGACAACGTGAGCAACTTTGTAAGTTACTTCAGAAGGCGGTGCTGTTCAGGAAGACAAACCCTTCAGACCTTTCCTGTGCTTCTTTCTTGATTCCAACACAGATAGCAGAGTGATGAATGTCTATAAAAGACATAAGCAGTATATTTAACTTACACTAAGATTCAATCTGAATGCTCCTTCTCATTTTCCTTCTGTATCCTATTAATTTGCTACAGACTTTTTAGAGTAACTATCCCATGCTGCATCAATTACAGAAGAAATCCCTAGCTTTTTGAGCATGTTAGCTTTTGTTACTGACCTCCTTCCTGAAGTTCATTAAGGGCTATGAACAGGATTATTCTTTCCTCTTTAAAACAAACCAAGCAAACAAAAACAATCTAACTCCCCCCCACCCCCCGCCCCTCAGCAAACTGATTTAGGAGGCATGCATCTTACTCATACAAGCCAAGTAAGTATTGCTTCATTTTCTGGAGAGAGAAACTGATTTTTTTAACCCAAAAAGTTTTTGCTATATTTTGCTGAGTAATCAACAGATCTTCAACACAGCGAGAGGATAACACCCCTGTTCCCAGTGCGTCGGTGAGTTAGTATATTAGCTAACATTTGATGCAGATGTCTAAACAGAACATGTGCACATTGCTTACTACTGGCTCTTAATTTAGACAGAACTGAATGGCAGTCAAACACCTTGAGATAACACAGCATTTGGCAGTGACTAACTTTGAGTATCTGCCATCCAAGGATACCATAATAGGAGACACAAGTATAAGGTCACCACAACATTTATTTTTCTAGAACTGCTTTTTATGTTATGGTTGCTGGAATAAGAGATGCAGAGAACTATGGACCTAGGTGATCTAGGCTCTGACTTTTCCCAAGACATCAGGTTAGCGGACAGTTTTAAGTACTGCATAGTGCAGCACAGGTTCCCTTGAGACACTGGAGAAATCATGTGTCACCTCCTTCTCTCAGTCCTCTTACCTGTGATAAGAAGGTGATAATTCCTTATTTACCCCTGGGCAGTACCATGAGAATGAACATCCAGGAAGTATTTAACAGTCACCTTGTGGGAGACACCTGAAATACAAGATATTAAAAGAGAGGGAGCTCCTAACCCAACAAAATGCATTGCAGAGCCTTCAGAGATGCTCTTTATTCCCACCACGTTTGCTATCTGCGACAAACACACAGCCATGCTCTGTCTTTGGCATTCCTCTTGGGAACATGCCCCTTAAAGCTGTGGGACCTAGCTTCTGCTTTTCAGGTGGCTTCATTACTTTTTTTTTTTTGCTTTAACATTATTAGTTGTCCTCACTGACACCTCAAGATGTCCAAAAGTGTCTGGGACCCTTGAGAGGGTGTACTGTGGGGCACAGATTTTTGTAATAACTCAGCACAAATTTTTCAAGCAACAAGAGAACTACACGTTTGTTGTCAAGAATACTGTAGATAAGGACACTAGGTTGGGACTGTACTAGAAAGCTCTTGTGTTCATGTACAGCTGAGTCTGTTTGTCCTGTCCAAATGCCAAGACTGAGCTCCTATTGGAGGCTGCTGATCCCTTTGCTCTGGTTCTTTTGCAGATATCCACTGGCCAGCAATTATTAAAACCTAAAGGGCTGGTTGATGGTTTTTCATTCCATATCCATTTTCACTCTATTTTCACACTGAAACAGACCACCATACCCTCCCTTTATGTGACCATGCAACTCATACATCAGCATTGCCTCTTTTAGTTCCAGAAAATGTTCACATGGGTTGAGCAACAATGCAAAAGCGAGTGGACAGAAAGTAATATCTACATCCACAATTTGGAAAATTTCCTTTATCCTCTTTAATTAAAATTTAAACTACTGAGAAAATGAAAGAACAAGAGGAAGCGAAGGTTACTGTATTTTACTTGTGTGACTGTCTTGCTTGTCTCAGACAGACAGATACAGATAGATGACAGATAGGTATAGATGGATACAGATAGATAAATCAACAGGTGTAGCAAAGCAACAAAAGAATTGACTATACTAATTTTTGCTGATCAAGCAAAACAACGATCCCAAAACATCTTTTTATTTCCTGTACACTATTGCTTTCATTAGTTCCTGAGAGGCAACATCTCAAGAAGCGTACAGTACAATTTTTAAGGAGAAAGACATGGAAAGAAGAATTGTAATGTGGTGGATGTTTTTTTTGTACAGTACTGGTTAATTTATGCATGCAGTTGCTCAGCAGTAAATGCTACTCAAAGTGATAAGCTCACTATATCATTTTATTTATGTATTCATATCTTGACCACGTGTTTTTCTGAGGCTCAGAAATTTTTCACAGCCCCACAAAATTGTTTGAGTGGCATTTTATTGCTGAGGAGTCATGCAATGGGTAAACAGTGTCATTCCCAGAGTATTTATTTACTTTTCACTTGACAAGCCTTTGTACAGCGTGTAACTGCCTCTGGCCTGAGGAGAACTCCCAGCAGAGACAGATTTTTCTTTTTTTCAGTTGCTGAACATAAAGGACTTGGAGTCCATAAGACCCCACTGAAAATCCCAGCTCAGGGCCTGCAGCAGTGGCTGAGAAGCAGACCCATCTGCCTATGCAGAAACAGTATCCAGGAGTTAGCACATACTATTACAACACTTAAATTCTCTTGGTTTAAAAAACAATAACAACAAAACCCCCACAAACAAACAAACAAAAAAAGCCCACATAAAATTTAGGCTGAGAGAGGGTCAACAAGAAGCTTCTCATAAGGAATCAAGAGAGGTTGTCAAAATCACCCACTGTTAAAGTCAAAATCAGGAGACTGGACTACATTTCTGATAAACCCTGTGACAGCCACATTGCCCATCCAGAGGGAGATATCAGTGCTTCATGGGCACCGGAGTTCATGCAGAATGGGGAAGCAGAGAATTTGGATTGCAGTTCCCATGACCTATCACAGCTGTGTAGAAGCTGGAAAATGTTGAAATGATTTTAAATTATTTTAGACTTTTTTCAAAATTGTCCCACTTAATCCCTCTTGAGGATATGAGCCTGAATTTTTTCATGGTGATTGCCTAAAAAAAATGTGTGTTCTGGCTGCAATCACAAATACGTTTCACAGATTAACTCACATAAGATATTTTAGTGTTCGCTTTACGCACCTAATATGCCTTACTTTTTACAATGATGTTTAGCTCAACTGAAGGTAAATGCAGCCCCACAATGTGTCTTCTGCTCAGTTTTGGATCAGAAGAACCTTGTAAAACCAAAGTTACACACAATTAAACACAGCCATCATTCAACAGAGTTGCACAGACTTCCATACCACAGCTTAGCAAAGGGTTCCATTTTATGATCTAATAAACTATATAAAAGGGAGTTGCAGGATATACAAAGAATCCCTGGCATTTTCTTTCCTGTATCACTGCTGCTTCCCCAACTCTTTTGCCTAATTTCTTGTATCATAACTAAGCAATCTTTTTTCCTTTCCTCTGCAGATATACCCAGATCTTCCACAGCCAAACAGAACAGATAAAACCTTTTTCAGGCTGGCTCAAGAAGACTCAGATTCTGTTTGACTGCCACCTTTTTGGAGAAATATTTTGAGTTCAAGATGAATAAGACAAGGGTTGTTAATGATGGTTTTCCTTTCCTGAACAGTAAGAACTGGAGCTCAAACCGAAGCTTTCCCATACACATCTCTAATCAATGCAGGAATATAACTGATCTTACTGTCTTTCTGGCCACCTCTTACAGCTTGGAGACTGTCCTAGGCATTTTGGGAAACCTCTGTCTGATTGCTGTCATTGCCAGGCAGAAGGAAAAGGCCAATGTCACCAACATCCTAATTTCCAATTTAATAATTTCAGACTTGTTTATGTGTCTTGTCTGTCTGCCTTTCACCATTGTTTACACCATGATGGACTACTGGATATTTGGGGAAGTTATGTGCAAAATGACCTCTTTCACTCAGTGCACATCTGTGACAGTATCAATTCTTTCCCTTGTTCTTATTGCTCTGGAAAGACACCAACTCATCATAAATCCAACCGGCTGGAGGCCAAGTATCTCCCAAGCCTATCTAGGAATTGGAGTAATTTGGACTTTAGCATGTCTTATGTCCCTGCCCTTTCTGACCACATCCATCTTGTCTAATGATTTGTATGAGCAGCTCTCACACATCATGAATTTTTCTACTGACAAGGCCATATGCATCGACTCATGGCCTTCTGAGCAACACAGACTTATCTACACTACTACTTTACTGCTCTTGCAATATTGTATCCCACTGTTCTTCATTATACTTTGCTACCTGCGTATCTACTTACGTCTACAGAAGAGAAAGGACATGTTTGAGAAGAGTGAATACACCAACCGAGCAGTTCAGCTGAGAAGGATAAATATTTTGTTAGCATCCATGGTTGCTGCTTTTGCTGTCTGTTGGCTACCGCTGCATGTTTTCAACACCATTGTGGACTGGAATTACAAAATCATTTCACCTTGCCACCACAATTTGATCTTCTCATTGTGCCATCTGGTAGCTATGGCTTCCACTTGTGTCAACCCTGTTATCTATGGTTTCCTAAACAGCAACTTCAAAAAAGAAGTGAAGTCACTCATTCTGAGCTGCCAACATAATTCAGTAACTGCATCAATGGAAGAATACGATCATTTGCCTTTATCCACCATGCAGACAGAAATCTCCAAGGGTTCACTGATGTTGAATGGTAGACATAATTCTATCTAGCTAGCGGAAAACATTTCAGAGGGATGCACTGACACTACACACTGATTTTTACCTGTAGGTATAAAAAGGAACTAGTGATGTCATAGCTGGGATGTGAACAGTAGCTCATTACTGCCTGATGTTTGGAAGAAAAGGAAGATTGTAAATGTATACAGTAGTTCCTATGGTGTAGAAGTTGTTCATGTCATTGAGATGGTACCTATACTGAGGAGACTAGGGTGATGCATACACATTTGCCCTAACAGATCAGAAACTGAGCTGTGGCTGCACACAGACTGACATCAGCTAAGGTCACATCTCCATCATGGCTGGGGTAGGAACCCAGGCTTCCACGTTCAGAACTGCATGCTGCCAAAAGATGCATTAGAGAAGATTCTCTCATTTTTTCAGTATTAGTAAGATTTTTACGCACAGCTGACACACCAGTGAAACAGAGGTACATAAATATATAATTTTTTGTGCTCTACCAGCTCTCACAGCCTGCTAGGTAACTAATCTTTCAGCAGATCTAGTTCACATCCAACAACTGGATGCTTGTATGAAACCTCTCTGTCATATAGGCTTGGGACAAGTGATTTCCTCTGCAAGTAGGTACACAGAACAATGACCCTGGTACAAAAGACAAGTTACTTATTGAGGGATGGTGGCAAATGAAAATGTCACACAGCGGATTAAACTCTTCAAATGCATTGAGGTGACACAGAGCACTATGTTTAAGGAAATGAAAAACAGTTGTAGAACTACATGGAAACTAGTCTGGTTGACTTCACAATTCCTGCTGCTGCCAAACATAAAGCTCTGCAATGCTAAAACTTCATGCCATGATGGTACAAGGCAGCTGGATTACTGGAGTTGTTCTAAGCCATTGTTAGAACCCTGTTCAAACCCTTCTGCTTCAGTAGCTCCTTGGTACTTTAATTGCCAAGTCTCTCATTCAGAAGGTCAGAAGAGGCATGAAAGCATGTGTAGAAACCTTGTATTTTCCAAGTGGGTATGCTCCTAAAGAAGTAAGCATATGGATGGAAGCTTGCAGTTTCCTGTTAAAATAAAACCAGATATTGGATACCAGTCCCACTCACTGGCATCTGCAACAGAGATGAAGCTGAAATTCCAACTAATCAGTAGAAGGTCAATAAAAATACACAAGTGGAATCTAGGTCAGGTTGAAGCCAAGATACATGTAAATAAATAGCATTGTAAATTGCTTTACTAAAGTGAAGGTCATGCTTTTTAATGCCTGTGGTATCTTTAGTCTTTGTCCATAAAACCTACAAACCATAAACTCATTTTAGCCTCTGAAGCCAGAGACATTGCTCAGTGACTACTGAGAAACCACGAAGCAGGTGTGCCCAAGAGGTCCATACTGAGGAATGGGTCAACAAAAAAAAAAAAAAAAAAGCAGCAACCGTGAAAAGGAAATCAACCAGTCAATGCTAAAGAAATAAGGAAACATATTCTGTACCTGAGCTGTTAAACTAACCTTAGCAGAAGACTGGTCTGGGTGGCCACCTGAGGTAATTTCCAACCTGAATTATGCTATGATAAGCAATCATTACTCATTATAGTCAATGGGTTTGCATTGAGTTGAAGCTATCCAGTGTACAGTTGCGCAGACAGATAGAAATTCCTTTGCCGAAAGCTGACTAGACAGATTGGTAAGTAATTAAGTCAGGAAAAATTCTTCCCATGCTATGGTCTGGGAGGCAATATGGATGTTGTACAGAGTATCTGAAGAGAAGCACAAAACCTTATGCTATAAAGTAGCAAGAGCTATCAGCACATATAAGATCACATCCTCAGCTGTCAGAAATGAGAGTTAATGCCTTGCCATGAGCTGGGTGCACAGATATCAGTGGCAAAAATTCAAGTTTGGACTTGAATTCTTGTGCATAGAACCTTAAGGCAGAAGCCGTTTTGATGCAGCCACCCTCCTAATTCTGGGCAGAGCATGTATATCTCAGTACAGAATTCATGTAAGACTACTTTTTTTATCTTCCTCTATTACCTGCAAGACATTTTTGTTTCTTTCAAATGGACTTCTGCTTTCTTTTTTTCTTTGTTACTTGCCACAGTATGATGAGAAGTTGTTTCTCTTGATTTGTTTGCATGTAACAGAATAATTTCCAGGCTGGACATTGATTCTATTAGAAACAGAGAACAAGAGGACTCTCATTTTATCTTATCTGAAGTTTGACATTTGCTACTGTAACTGAAACCAGACCTGACACAACTATATGATGCTGAGTAGTAAAAAATAGAGTAACTACTCCTCATCAACTTACTTTATAACGAAAATGTATATTTGAGGGCTTAAATACTGCTTAAACTTTGTGGTGGTTTTGTATTTAGGATAAATCTCATCCAATTAGCCTTGAGTAATTTTGTGTATTTCATGCACTTGTCATAATCAACATTTAATTATGATGCATGTGAAGCTATCGTAAGAATACTCCACTAAACATGAACATATAAGACTATTTGATTAAGTATACAACTTTTCAAGCACCAGTGTCTTAAATGGAAACACAATTACCTTTAGAATTTGCATGTTCATGAATGTGTCTCTTTCACTAGTTGTAAGTGAAAACTTTTTGATAGAGCACTAACATTACGCCAGAGACCTGCCACTGGAGATACACATTTGCATTGTGCATCATGTCCCAGTTCTTCCTGCAACGGGTACAAATATCAGTGGGGTCTGACTCTTTGTTTATCTGTAATTCATGTGGATGTTTGTATCCATTATCACACGTAGATGCATAAAGCAAGCAGATCCAACTTTACAGTAACCCAGACAGACACAAATGGATGTATTAGTGATTAAGGGTAGTGTCAAGTTTGGAGTCAAGTACTGTTTATTGCTAACACTCTTTGGACGGGATAAACTAAAGTATTTAAACACTAAAAGCCGCCAAAGTGCACCCATACATCTAACTGCAAAAATGCAGATCCTCAAAACTCCCAACCAGCTGCTGCCTCTCCATCTACTTACATACCATCCTGAGGTACATGTTTTTTAATTCTAAAATTCCCTAGGTAACTAAATAAACTTTAGAGAAACACACACACGAAAAATATATATTTAAGTTCCAAAAAATTACTTATCTATTCCATGTTTAAGCTCTGTCTTTATTTGCACACTAAGCATCCTGCTGTCACAAACAGCTGCAACAGGAAAGGTGCTTTTATTCTTCATTCTCTGTGGACATCAAGGCTTATGCAGCTGTGCCCACATGCAGTAGAGACTATTAATGCTGCTGGTTTAAGAACTGCTCTAGCAACTGTTCCCTTTGAAGACAAAGGCACAAGGCTGGATGCAACTACATCTGCATGGTTGAAAGAGCCATTTTATTCACAGCTGTGAGGCTTTAATGAAACCAAGGGGGACTATGACTCTGGTCCCAGCAGAGGGTTACAGAACAGAAATAGTTTGTATACATCTTATTCATTTGTAAATAACAAATAATGTTCATATCTAAGAAGGATCAAGCATTTTTGTGTTCATTGTAGCAGTGATGCTTTTGAGCATGCTCTACATGAAGTTCTGCAACTGAGTCACAAAGGCAATGTTGGGGAACAATGCAGGAGTCGTGCAACTCATGAGTTCATACAATTCTAAGACCTTACCTGGCCTTTTCTTCTTTTTTTTTTAACTTTTTTCTAATTCTGCCTCTGGTGATGTTGTAAGAAGATAGTAAGATTTTCAGAGCAAGAAAACAACTTATCGCTGTGATGTAAGTGGCACACTATAGGGACTCTAATAATAACAAATAAAATAATATTGCCTGTGTTACTTCACTTCTCTGTGCCTGCTTCTGTAAAATAGCATAAGGTTATTCAGAGTATAAAGCAAATAAGATTTAGTTCTCAACTAGTATTTATCAAGATAAAACAAGTTATACTGTATGATAAGAGCCACTGATATAAGAAGGATTAATAGCTTGATGCATTATTTCTAAAGGCAGACAATGGTGCAGCACAGCCAACTGAGGAGGAAAGGACAGACTAGCTATCAGAAGTTCAATGTAGGACACTGGAATATTCTGATGAGTACTCAGCTCATCTTCACAGACTTCCCAGACTGCACAGGAAACTGTCCTGATCCCTGATCAGAACACCAACCAGAAAGTAACTAAGACTGCTCAGATGAAAACTAATGCGGGACATTTGTCAAAATTTTATTGAACCTCAGAAATGTTTTGACTGGGTTAAAAGAACTGGTAAATTTCTCTGACCCGGCTTATCTGCCTCCAAAGACAGTAAACCAAGATACTAGAGATGACCATACGTTGTGTTATAACCAGGTTATGTTTATTACATTGCAAGAGCAGTATCTGCTACCTGCCTGGCTTGTTATTGTATGGCATAAATGTGATGCAATCATCACCACCTCTTAGTAATGAGGTTTTGACTGCAGTCAGTCAGGGTCTGCACTGTAGGTTTGCTATTTGCAAATGCAGTGTGCACACACGTATGAAGCATGACAGTCTAGAGAGCTGATTGAAAATTAAGACATTACATCCAAAAGACCCTTTAAGGGATTCTTTTACTTTGACTTGTGTGTTTTCTCACAAGATCATCTGACACTTCCTTTACAGGCCTTTCTCTTCAACCTTCTAATTCTTTAAATACTAACCTGATTTTCAGGCCAGCATTGATTTCAATGGCAATTTTGATGAGCATCAAAATCCACGTAATTTTCATGATATTCCCTCATTTTCTCAGTAAGCTTTACACAGTCACTTCTTTGAACTCAGGAAGTAATAAGGAGAATAGGCCTGAGATTTATACTTTTGTGTAATGCCTTTCCTGCCAGACAGTGCTCATTAAGCCTTACTCAGAATTGTTTTGTTGTCCTTCCAATAAATGCTTAGTAAACATGAAGTCCAGTAGCAGCACAGAGATTATATGATGAAAATCTCGTATGAACTTGAATTTCAGCAGTTTTTTAGAATTTGAATTGATGAGACTACCATCCATCTATAAAAAATACTCAGTTA